ACAGACATGAGAGTTTTAGTAATATATAGATTATCATTAATTAGCTATACTATGACAAGCCCTAATCTAATCAGAGCTTACTCTGTTACTAAAGATTTGGCTATGATTTTGAGTACTATTTCAAATAAAATAAAATAAAGTTATCTAAAGCCTTCCTTCTTTTCAGAAAGAAGATATTTACTGGGTTCACATATCACACTAATCCATACTGTGATTTGTTTGCTTTGGGTTAATGCGTTGCATGAACTCAAGTATTGTGGCTTGTAAGCCATTGTTATATGAATGTATGATGGGTGAACACAGTTACTATAGTCTACTTACCACACAATGTATAAAGAAAAGCATGCTTGAGCATAATGTGTGCAATCAACCAATACTTTGGGTGCTCTGAATTATCATTCCAGGACTAATGTATTCTTTTGACACCAGAACATTTTCCACATGTCTTCCTATAATCATTCAAGTATGATTCTTATTATTGCCTGCCCAAGTTATCACGAGCTAGCATCTACTCCAGATTGACTAGTTGGAAAGTAGTCTGTCATCTAGCAGACTAGAACTAAGATCACTATAACAATAGGAAATTGAAAATCAGAGACATTTTAACTATTTTCCCTGAATGTTTTATATTTCAGAAAGGCTTTATTCCCTTTAACACAGACAAGTATCTTGCAAACACAAATACACACATTGGCACGTAGCATGTTTAAATCTGCTTATAAACTTTTCTCCATGGTCCTGCTTTTGCATGCTTTCCACACAAGCTTCTATATCAGTACCTTTCCCTGAATCCTTACCTCTCGGCATCCTCGTACAGTGAAGTCCTTAAAAGTCCGGATGTCATCAATAAGTAGATTCATAAGTCGAAGTTTGTCAGCAAAGCCAACCAAAACATACAGACCACCAGGATGAAAAGCAAGCGCGTATGCCTCTTCTTGGTACTCTTTATATAGGTCGAGTGTGCTGCAGCAGGACCAGCCATGGCAGTTAATGTACAATACTATTAATACAAAAAAGCTGCAGGTAATGCTATTCTTGGACATACCTTAAGGTGAAATACTGGGAAACCCAAACAAGGGCCACAGGGTCAAAGACTAAACTATCCAATTCAGTGCATGCAAACAAATTAGCAAAAATAATTTGGTTATAAAAGAAGCAATTCAGGATATCTGAGGATGTCATACAGCTGGAAAACCAGTTGTTTAGAGAAAGCTTAAAGCTATATTCCTGAAACTGAGCTTAGATTTTTTTTCATTTGTATTTCCTTTTGCTTTTATATTTTAATTAATTGGCACATTTAGAACTGCCACTACTATGTCTAACAAAAGTGATATAATTTAACAGATTCCATCTAATTGTTAAATTACCATGCATTCAGATGCTTGAAGAGAGGCATCTTTGCATTATGCTCCCCATTCCGCTATGGCCTCTGAAGATATATTACTATATAAAGTAAGAGGTGTGTACATAATTTCACATTTATCTGAGGAGCTCACTTGGTAAGAGAAGGGATTTAAGAAAGCTACTTCTTTAGATGTGTGGCACCTTCTGATTTTATTCTTTTAAGAATAATGTGAAGGTTGAGTTCATTATAAAGGTTATGTAACATTTATGCTATCATTTTATTAATGAGATGGACATAATCAACTTTTAGCAGCCTAGCATTCTCTAGCTCCCAAGAGAAGGGTTACATTCAAAATACAGGTAGTCCCCAGTTTAAGAACGAGTTCTGTTCCCAAGGTCTGTCCTTGAGTCACATTTGTATGTAAGCCAGAACAGTATTATTGTATAATACTGTATAAGTAGTATTGTGTAATG